ACCCTCTCTCTCAGGATTTGTTAATAGTTCTCACTTATATTTAATTATATATTACCTATAACCAATAGAAAGTAAAGGTTTACATCCATCAAATGATGTATTGTATAATATTGTGTTCTGAACAGATAATCATCAGTTTTACTCAGAGTACAAGCTCTGTTCTATGGGAAAGCTAAGGACTAGCTTCGATGAATTTGTAATGGCTTTTGTTGCATAGTTAGAAAGCCAGAAAAAATTTGAGAGTTAAGGGAAATTGTCTACTTTTTGCGTGTTATTAGTCTATGTTCTTTGGTGCATTATTTAATTAAATAGAAATTATTTAGTGCATTACTACCATTAGTAAAAAAAAGTACAGTTAAGTGTCATCAACAATTGACAGCAAGAAAAAAGAAGATTGGGTAAATATCTTATTTCTTGTTCATATTTATTCTTTATTTATTATTATAAAAGTAACTAATAGGGATCTGTTTAAGATAGTTAAAATTAAATTAGGTAAATAATGTAATAAAAATGTTTCATGAGGCATGCATGCGAACAGTTCATGGGTAATGTAATTCAATAGCATAATGTGAGTTGCACATATCCCGAGTGATTTACAACTTATAATGGCACAGGTAGTAGTTAGACATGGTTCAAAGGGCAATAAAACAATAAAATGTAATTATAACTAGATATACTGTTATGACCTTAAAGCTATTTAGGATAAACAAACATAGTTTCATGTTACATACTAGAAGTCATACTTGAAGTCATACTAGAAATAAAAAAAAGGATAATTTAGATTTATTTCAATTTTATTTTTTTGTTGGTGGTTACGAAGTCAGTTGAAGTGACTGATCCCGTTTTAAGATAGAGTAGAGAAAATAACACATAAACTATAAAGTGTTACTGAAAAAAAGTTTGAAATGCATTTAAGAGGTTTTAGAGATTACATGTGGTCACTCAAATTGCCCAAGCCCATGTTGAGAGAGTTAACAGAATGAAATCAACCAACTCAACAAGGAAAAGTTTTTCGATTTTTGGAATTAAATACTTAGTTGACATTTATCTTAATTCTAAAAAAATAAATTAATTAATAAAATAAAGAGGACTATTAACAGTAATGAAAAGTAATTTGTTTGTTTATTCTGTGGAATTTTTGCACAAAGCTACTTGAGGACAATCTGTGCTATCTGTCCCTAATTTGAAAATGATAGATAGACTAGAGGAAAAGCAGCTAGTCAACATCACCTACTATTAAATCTTGGGCTACTCTTTGCAACAAGAAATGAGTTAACTATCACATTATAGCACCCCAACAGCTGAATGGGTGTGCGTGTTCAGTGACGGGATTCAAACCCATGATCTGGAGACTGTGAATTGAGCACCAGAACCACCAGGCCAGCAATAACAAAGAGGAGAACTACTGAAAGAAAAATAAAATGTCTCATATGTATCAGTTTATTGTAATAATATATATGAAAACCACCATAATCACCGTGAATGATTTAACTATAAGTGAAAAAACATAAAATTTATTTTACAGTTATTTTTCTCTGAGGAAAATGTTTCATATAATTACTTGTCTTATACTCTCCACTTTAAAAGGGGATCATTCTTTGAAAGTGATGAGCATTCAGGTACCTGAAAAGTGGGAGATTGGTTGTTTGTTATTAAGCACAAAGCTACACAAAGGGCTATCTGTGCTCTGCCTACCATGGGTTTCGAAACCCGGTTTCTGACGGTATAAGTCCGCAAACATACCGCTGTGCCACTGAGGGTCTGGGAGATCAGAGAACTCTGAATGCACCGATGTGTGCTTTGTACTGTGTCAAGGACATCAAGAAAATAATGTCATTTGATCAATAACAGCATGAAATAAATCAGCCAAACTATGAAAAACATTTCATATATCACATGTGTCAAAGACATTAAGAAACTAAAGGCACTTGGCTGTTAACAGCATGAAATTCAGCCAACTCAACAAGGAAAAGCTTTTCATATTTCACACATGTAGAATATATCTATTTTTATACATTGCATATATATGTTTGTCCTCTATGGAAAACATTAACAAAAAACATACTCTACAGTACAAAAAATAACACAAAAGAGAATTTACAATACTGTTGTCTAATGTTCACTATCTAAAATGTAATTTTCTATGACATTTTAATAATTTGATAATCATTTAAATTAAGAAATAAATAATTGACCAGAAGGTGTCTATTACTAATGAAGGATAAATTTCCAGTTTGCCCCTGAAGAAAAAAGGTCCACCTTTCGACAGCGCTCAGGTTATAGGGTTTTTATCATCTTGTATCAAGATTTCTTGAACCTATGTGTTTTTCTAACATCATGAAGGATAAATAAAATACTGGAAAACAGGTTATAGACCAAAATACAGAAATATTTTGTCTTTAATCAACGTAGAATATTACAGTTAATGGTCCATCAAAATATACTAATAAAATGCTGATCAAACAGCATAAATTGTACCTTTTTGTTGTAGACCTGTCTTCTGTTGGTTGTACCAGGTTTGGCTAAGCCATGAGTAACTTCTTCCTTTTCTAATTCTTCAAATAATTCTTCAAATTTTTTGTCCTCTTTGCCAACAGGAACAAAATTATCATCTAATTCTCCTGTAAAGTTGAAAAATGCATTAATAATTTTAAATAAAAAAGGCGATACACCTTTTAAACCCAAAATATATGAGTAATCCAATTAATAGTTTTCACATACTTAAAAACTAACTTAAAGAAACATAAAACATAATTTTAAATATTACTCAAAATTATGAATAATTATTAAATAATTTAAAATCCTTGATCTCTGTGGTACTTCTGTAGCACAATCATTTAAATAACTCAAATTTTGGTTACTGCACCAATATTACAGCTAAAATTTCATTTGCTGTGATAAAAACTATTTACTTCATGTAATTGCAAACCTTAGCTATCCTAAAGCGATCATCACTTTTAAGCTTATATCACTGTTTTGGAACATCTAGCTCATTAACTATTTCAAGACAGGCTCAGTCAATTTGACTGACCACATGATCTCTTTGTACTCAATTAAAGTCTTTATAGATTTAATACTTCTAACTTTCAATATAGTGTATATATCTTCACAAAATTTGGCAGTCTTTCAGTTCATATTATGAGCCTTTCATTTACAAAAAATATTTTTTTTTAGTGAAGTATTTTTAATAAAATAAAATAAAGATTTGTTCTTTAATATATTGAGTATTTGTTTTGAATATTCCATGTGCAAAGTAATTTTTATGTTAAAATTAAAAATATTTCTCCTCATCTCAAAAATCTCAAATTTCCTTTGTGTAATCCCTAAAACCTCCTAAATGTATTTTAAACGGTTTTTTTCAGTAAAACTTTATAGTTTATCTGTTATTTTCTCTAACCTATCTCAAAATGGGATCTGTCTATTCGACCGACTCGTACCATCCAAAAAAAAATTGAAATAAATCTAAATTACCCTTTTTTCTTTCTAGAATGACTTCAAACTGTAACCTGAAACAACATTCGTTTATCCTAAGTAGCTCTAAGTTCGTAACAGTATACATCTGTTGATAACGAAATTTTATTATTTTATTGCCCTTTGAACCATGTCTAACTGCTATCAGTGCCATTATAATTTGTAAGTCACTTGGGAACGTGCTGCTCACATTACGCTATTGAATTACATTACTCATGAGCTGCTCCCATGCATGCTTCGTGAACCAATTTAATTATATTATTATTATTACTTATTTTACCTAATCTAGTTTTAAATAACTTAAAAAGGTCGATATTTTTATATTTTAGTTACTTTTATAATAACAAATAAAGAATAAGTATGAAAAACAAGAAATAAATCTTTTTTTTTTGCTCTCGGGTTTAAGACGAGAGTTAACCCTAATTTTATATACTATAGATAGTAATACACTTAATAATTTTTATTTAAGTAAATAATGCACCAAAGAATATAGACTAATAACATGCAAAAAGTAGACAAATTCCCTTACCTCTCTAAATTTTCCTGGCTTTCTAGCTATGTAACAAGAGCTGTTACAAATTCGTCCAAGCTAGTTGTTAACTTTCCCATGGGAACGTTGCTTGTACTCTAAATTAAATTGACATTTAATGGTTCAGAACATAATGTTATACAATATGTGATTTTATGGATGTAAACCTTGACATTCTATTGGTTATAGGTAATATATAATGAAACATAAGAGAAAACTATCAACAAATTGTGAAAGACAAGATGTGACAGGTGGATGAGGCAGGATGGGTCTGATTTTCTATTGGATAGCTCTGTAGCCAAACAAAATTGAAGAGTATTTTACGTTTAATTTCATACTTCTTCAAGTGGTGGATAAAATAGGGATGATGACATGCTAAGAGAAAATGTGTCACATGGGTCACACTATAGAAAATTCAGGATATTTTTAAATACTGCCTTGTAAAATTAATAACTTAAAACTTGTATACTAATAAAATTATGATTATTAGCTAAGATTTTACGCTATTCTAATTGGTATAATGTAAAAAAAAGTAATTTAGTAGAATTTTGAATGTAAGACATCAAAATCTTGTGTCATGCACAGTAAAGGGTACACGGGGTGATAGGGTTAAGACAAAACATTTCTTATATGTATAATAACTGAAAATATTTGCCCCCAGTGGCAGAGCAGTATGTCTGCAGACTTACAACACTAGAAACAGGGTTTTGATACCAGTGGTGGGCAGAGCACAGATAGCCCATTGTGAAGCATTGTGCTTAATTTCAAACAAACAAACTGAAAATATTTCACTCCATGCAGTCAAAAAGGAAATGCAGAAGTAATGGTTGAAATTACAGAGGCCTGGCTTCACCACACCACACAAAGTAGTTGCATCGCAATTAGATGTCTGAAAATAATTTGAATGATTAATTTTATTATATTTTGCTTATCTGTTAAATTTAAATTTTCCAGTTACTTTGCAAGTAAATAATAGAAACTGTGCAAAGTGACAGTGAAATTAATGAAATAAAACATTCTTTTTTTTAATGATCTAATTATCTTATAAAACTCTGAAATCTCATATGCTTAGGCTTGACAGCTAGTGTAAATAACTAGTATTACAAATAATTTCATTCATCTCAATTTTATTTTAAATGATTTATGTATCCTCTACCAGATTTTATTTGGATTTCTTACATAGATTGCAACATTTGAATGTTTATTTCAAGCTTATATAAAAGCCTAAGTTTGAAAAAAAATAAAAAACATTCCAATTTATTCATGTAACATTGGTCTGGGAACTCACATTCAAAATTCAAACTTATTTTATACAATCCGAAAATTCCTAAAAGTACATTTTTAGTTTCAATCATAAACTAATGCTAAATATATCAGAATTTACACACAGTTTGCAAGTAATTATCTTCACTTACACAGCCAAAGCACCCAAGTTTTTCAATTTATAACTTTATCATGAAAATCAGGCCTTTTAATAATATAGAGAAAAGTTCAATACATACAATTCATTAAAAAAAAAGTCACAAAAAGTACTTGAAACTTCAGATGTATTGTCACATGACCAACGAGCTATGAAAATTTTCTACTCTGGCACTCTGTATATTCAATAATATAATGACAGTTGTGTAGATGTAGGCTTGGACTAAAAGATGCTTACATAACCTTTTGACTCATACATTTCAAATTCTGTGAATGAATGAATGCAGTTCAAACAATAAATTTTTTCAACCCCTGATAGGTGCCATGCACACCTTCAACAGATATGTTTGAGTTTTCTAGCCTATATGTAGATGTTACATACACATGTATATAATCATTAGAAATAATTCATTTTTCACTTTAATATAACAATGGTTATTTTGAAATTGGCATGCAGCTGTAGTCAAGGAGTACATGTAACTGACTGCAGTATAATTGGTTGCTTGATCAACTATAGCACTTATGGTTGTTTCTTACCTAAATATTTTTACGACAGCGGAAGTCACGTGACACTAGTAACACGTGATAAGTATCTAGAAGATTCATGAAGAGACAAGATGTACGCTTTTATAGTATATAAGCTGGCAAGAATATAGTTGCAGATAGATAGATTGAAGATATAGACACGGATAATCGAGTCAAGCGGGCACCATAAGTAAAGTGCGTGAATCATTGTGAATTATAGTATGTGTTTAAGTTAAAGTGACTATGGAAATTAGGTGTATTGCAAAGTTGAATTGAGAAAGAATAAACTAGTTTTATTTAAAAAAGGGCTTGTATCGCAGAAGTTTTTCGGAAAGAATTTCTACGGAAAATCAAGAAACAAACATAGACATAACAATATGTTATAGTTAGAAATACAGTTTAAATTGTATTTAGGTCATACTATTATATTTTAAAATGCATAATTAAAAGGTTTAAACATTTTTTAAAATATATATTATACTTTGCATCAGTTTTCAGGGCTTATGATATTACAATGTGCTTGCAAATTTTGCTCAAGGGTTGCTCATAATATGTCTATAGAGCACCGTTGACTTGTGCCAAGATGAATAAGTGGTAAAGGACAAGGAAGGAAATAAAACATTAAAAATTAGTTGTATGTGAAAAGGAAAAGACATGAAATTACGAATTTAACAAATTAACATCTTTAAAGATATTCTCCAAAATTTAAAAGATATGTGTTTTGTTTTTCTGTTTCCTAATTTTAATTATTTCATTGCATTGTATATTGATGATAATAACTAGAGTTAGTGATATGGTAGAAAGATGAAAAATAAAACAGATATTTATCTAAAAAAAACTTCTCATATTCATTTAGGAGGTTTTAGAGGTTATTGAAATGAAATATGAAACTATAAGGTGAAGAAACGTATTTTTATACTTAAAATGAAAATCACCTTGCACTTGAACTATTTCAACAGTTTGAGTGCAAATAACTACTATAGATAAATAAAATTTATATTAGAAAGATGTAATTAAAATAATGTCATTCTTTGTGTACAAAATACTTATAAACTTTAACAAAATCTTGAGAGGTTCTTTGAGGAATGCTCAGAGTTACTGTATGTTTTTTGTATATTCGTCCTTCCCAGTCAAAGCAATACAAACTGCACCAGCTTGAGGTGAAAGGTTTAAAAGGTATACTTTCAATATAAGGCATTGTATGGAAAAGTTTTGATTAGCCCAAAGCATTATTTTATATTTAGATTCATCAAAAGCTACAAAAAATTTAAAATAAGTATAAATTGAAAATTAAAAACTATCTGAAATAACCAAATGTGTTCCATGCTATCTCAAAATATATAAAAAAAGAAAAATGGAAGTGTTAATTGTTAACATTCAATATAATTAGATATTTAGGCTTATAAAGTATCAGTAAACCGCACAGAATATGTTTCATTACACATTAAGATAATTTTATTCATACTATAGAACTGTTAAATTACACTTCCAGGAAATACCTTTTGTTTCTCATGCTATCTTACAAAAAAATATTTACATGTATTACATTTGAAATGTAATTTAATTACTTTTTTTTTGTATTTACAAAATGATTACAGAACCATTAAAAACAAATATATTGTGGTAGCTAATGGATCATAAGCTTACCAATTTCATGGAGTTTCTTACATACATCTAAAGCTGCAGCCATCTTTGCTAAACGTTTGGTGAGCATTATATCTCCCTGGTTGAAAATAAATCATTTCATCTTTCTTTTAAATGTGTAACATAACTCTCTTGATTTTGTATTTTTATTTTACTGTTAGTTAGTGAACATTTTTTTTTAATTATGAACAAAACTTTCATTTGCCCTTTTTCTTCCTAATGAAAACTTTCAGTCTTAGATTTTAACTTAAAACTTTTCATCATTTAATTATTTGTTAATATTTCAAACAACTGTAATGTGCATATATAGTACACTTGAAAGAAAGTATATCATACTGTTTCACTATTGTTATAGCTGTACTCTTAAGTTCATCTGGATAAAATGCAAATTCTTAGAGTTGAAAGTTATTCATGCTTTATTTGAATGATGTATATGCTAGTACTCAAGAAAATATAACTAACAAGTGTTAAAAATAAATAAATGATAATCATAATTAAATTTCTTCATCTAGTTTACACCTTAACAAATATTGTTCATTAAAATGATGATATAATCAGTGTCTCAACCACTACCTCTGTTGTATCCAAGCTGGCCTGATAAACCCCAATATTATGTAAAAGGCCTTATCAGCACTGGATATGGCAGACATAGTATAGTTTACACTTTATTACACATTCTTCTTTGCTTTCATTTACAAGTTTTTAGAATTATTGTCAACACATTAGAAAACATTCTTGTATAAATAAGATGTTGGACAAATGGAGAAAATGTGATTATTTAGACCAAATGCTTATTTTAATTCCATGCTATTTTGTAGAAATGTAGATTTCAATTAGTGTGTGTTTGCAACATCCTGCAAAATACAAACAACAGACTGAAAGCAAACTCTTCCCAAGTTACATGTTACCAAATTAAAATCTGTGAATTTAATAAATCACTACAGATTATCTGGTCCAACAATCAGTCTTTTCACTATATCACAAACTACTTGTCTGCTGCCAGAGCAGTGATGCATTACATTATTTACACAGCAGCTTTTTCTTCTTCTTTTTTGTTTTGACAAATATCACCAGCTTTAAAGTGCAAAATAATGGTCATTCATATGTCAAAGTTCATTAGACTACTCCAGACTTTAATAGAATGATGAAGCAAAGACCTAACAGGTAACTCTATGACAAACCAGATTAATAGCTGAGGTTCACAAACATCAAGGAGCACTTTCAAAACCAAGTGGAAGAAAACACGTGTATGTGTATGTGGTAATAGGTGGAAAAACCAAAAATAAGCAAACCTTGGCAAACACAGTGTTGGGATGGAAAACATAATAAAGTAGTACAAAGTTAAAATATATATATGAATACAATCCTACCAAAATGCAGACATGCAATATATATATATATCTCTTTAAGGCTTGAACAACGAGAAGAATGTATAAAAACTTTCCCTTTATACCAACATACATGAAACTAGACAAAAGATTATGTGTGTATAGAGTGCAAGAACTACAGTGATGGATAAAACACAGAGGAAATAGCAATGTAAAAATATGAAGGAACAGAAGAAAATCTAGCTACAGCTGTGAGGAACAAAATAAAATGTTATATATATACAATGAGAAGGAACTGAGTATTCATATTTAATATCATCATGCACTTTGAGAAGATAAATATTAAAACCAACGAGGAGAAAACTTGTGCTTCATGTACAAAATATTTTTTTGTTTGTTTTATTTTGTACTTGAATGTACAATGTTTATAAAATGTAAGAGCAGTGCTGTAATTTAAAACAGTTAAGTACCTTGCTTAGACTACTCATGTATACTCAAGTTAGGTATATACAGTTTTGAAAAAATATGATGGCCATGCAGGGCATCTGAATAACTGCAAGATTAAACCTATTACACAACACCCGATACACTCAAAGACACTTTGAGCTAAATGGTCTGATAAAAAAATGACCAACTGATTAATTTATCTAGTAATAAACATCATATACAGCAATGCTTTCCAAATCTGAACACTGGGGACAAGTATTAAAACTCAACAGGGTTCTGGTTCTAGTACTATTAAATGTCTATAAACAAATGAAGAAATCCACAAACAAAACCTTAATAATAAACACTACTGTCTAAGATGGGGCTCAAAGGATCCATTCCTCAAATACCTTTCCCTTTGTAGTAAACAGTACTATCTACACCTACATCAGAGAGCACAGGTTTTCTCCCTCCAATTATGGAGTACTGTCACAGCAAGTTTGTCAGTACACAATTCAGGTAGTACACATCGTACCATCTCTACTTTCAAACCACAGACCAAAGGGAGGCAACTGGTCAACAACAACCTACTGTTGTTATTTTCTACGTAGTTTTTCACTATTTATCAATTATATTTGATCATTTATTACTATTATTATTATACATCTTTTTTTTTTACACCAGGTTCTTAATGTAAATACGAGGGGACTGCACTTTCCATATTAAAGTGATCAAGACTGGCAATCAATGCATGACACTACATTAACAAGGAAAGCAAATACAAGCCCAGCCTAGCATCAACATCTGGTGTATAATTGCACTAATAAATTAATCCAAGTTAACTATTTTACATTATCAAAATAAATATATTATTAACTAGAATATTAATATATACAGTAATATAGATCAAATGCTATAAATGCTTAATATTACTAAGTAAGCCATACACCTTTATTCTTCAATTAACATAATATAATTTTATATTTTTGAAAACAGTGAAATAGGGTATTTTGCTACCTCCCCAGAAATTAATATCTTAATAGTTAACAAATAGGCCTACTAACTTAATATCTAAACTAATTAATTAACTACTCAATACTTTAGAATAGGCCTACTATTTACTTTTTATTTGACACTAAAGCAACAGGACAAACAAACATAAGTCTAACTTATTATCAATAATTTAGTATAAAATTGCCCAATCTAACAAGTAAATTGTTTCAAATTGACGACTGTATTCTAAAAATAAGTCACAATTAAGAAAAATATCAATAAAAAAATATGAAGATTATTAATTGGACCTTAAATAAATAAAAAAACAAAATTTCAAGAGCACAATTTTCTGTCACTTTACTTTCCTTGCCCCCAGAAATAAGACTAAAGTTAAAATATGTTATTAAAAATATTTAATATGAAAAGCTTAAATAAAAAATGAATGGAAATAAAATAAAACTAGTTTGAAAAAAATCCCCAGTTACTAAACAAGTAGTAAAACTGCTATATGAGATAAGAGAATATATAGTAACCATCTCTCTTTATATTCACATCTATGATCACCTAGATTTATCTTTCTTTACATGTTATTCATACATCATAACCAAAACAAAACTACACCTGTATTAGTTAGGATAATTAATTGTGCTTTTAAATTTATGTTTAAAAGCTAAAATACAATCCTTACAGAAATATTCAAAGTTCATGCATTTAAAGGGAACACTAAAAAAAGCCTTACTTCTACATCAATCAAATGAACAATAATTCAATAGAAATACAATTTACTGGTATTTATGCTTGATAATACTACTAGATTACAATTGATCATTAAAATTTTCATCTTAAAATGTATTTCTAATATATATATATACACTCACCTCATAAAGATAAGCTATCTTCCTTGTGTGCCTGCACAAGTGATTTGCATGCCACTTGCCTTGAGACAACTCCCAACTAATTTCATGTTTTAATATGAACTATGCTGGTGCATGATATTATCATCATGCAACAGTAGCCCTCCAACAATAGAAGAGTGAAATAACCTCCAAGCACAATTACTCTTTTTATGAACTTGTACTTGACGTGACTTCATTCTTTGATGAGGCAAGATAAAAATGTGCATTGGAAGTAGGGAGGATGGGTGGAAATCAGTGTTCCCTCTAAGCTACATGGCCACATGACAACCAATCATAACTCACTTTTGCACACAAAAAAGTTAGAATCCCACACTGAATTACTGGAGGGGCTGGTGCAAGATTTAAATTACATGAGTTCCCTTCAGAAACCACCCAAAGGGAAGACCATGTAGTGTGACACCTGATGGGAGGGGCTCCACAGTGGCACACCCATGGAAGGCCACATCCCATCTCAACAAGGGTATCCCCTTCACCTGGAATTTAAGGGGGGAAGAGATAAATGAGTTTCATGTGTCACAGGAATGAGCAGAATGAGAACATGACCATCCAAGCATTTGCATACTAGAGGTTGAAGAGCCAATACGTGTAGTGTGGTTGGAATATGTTCAGACCATACCTTAGATTGAAATCTAGGAAGAGATTGGAAGATTAATGTCATTTCTTGAATGGTAAGGCAGTAACCACAGCAAATCCGGTTAAATTCATAGTTCAAGAGATCATTCCTGATGGATTAGAAAGAATTTGGCCAACAAGTCAGGAGTAAGAGACCAGTAGGCATGTGGTAATCCACAAACTGAACAATGGCTGCAATGTCCCACACAGTTAAAGAGCCTCCAGAAGCCATAACAGAAATAAGGCCTGTGTGTAATATTGTCACTCACACAGGACTAAGTATAAGTCACCATCAATTGAGAATTCCTGATAAAAAATCAAAGCTCTTGAAACAAAAACCAAGGTTTCATTAACAAATAAAAATCTCATCAAACTGAACTCAGATGGAAAATTTTGAACATGTCTCTTCACCTGGCAAAGAGAAGAATGAAGTCACTACGAGTGCAAATGCATAGGAAGAGTTACTGCACATGGAGGTTGTGTCACCTTCTTGTAGGTGGATGACTTTTGTCGCATGATGACATCATTATGTACTAGCACAATTCACATTAAGTTAGGCGGGAGTTGTCTCATGGCTAGTGGCATGCAAACCACTTTCACAGACACACAAAGAAGATAGCTTTTCTTTATGCAGAGGTGAATTTTTGTCATGGAATGGACAACAGTTAGTGATCAAGAAAATGTACAATGGTTTGAAAATATATTTAGCTCCCTAGTAGCAGTAGCCTAGGGAACCATTTACATTGCATTAGAATTGAACTCATGCACTAGCTTAAAAAAAAAAAAAAAAGATAATTCTTCATACACAAATCAATTTTCTGTCTTTAGGACAACTCTGTAGTCTCCCCTAGCATGACTAATGACAAGGGATTCCAAAAATACCCGGTATATATCATATATTATGAAACATAATTAAAAGAATCAATAACCCTAAAATAAATATGTATAAAACTTACTATGATCGGTTCTTTCAGTAGAGAATTAATTGGAAGAGTAATTGTGGCTCTGTACAGATTTCTTGATTTCAGTTGCATACAAGTCCCAGTAAAATCCTCAACTACTTCTTCTATTATACACTCTGGAGCCAATCGAGTAAATGAATCAGTTGGTAACTTTACACAATATCTAAAAAAATTAATGCATTCAAAAATAAAAGCAAAGAAAACAACTCTTAACATAGCATAAAAATTAAAACTTTCATGTGGATATAGAATATTTATAATATTCATCATTCAGGCTGGACTCCTAAGAAAAATATGAATGGACAGTATGAGGTTACCAATGTAAAGATAAGATAGTAAAATGAAAATCCCTCAAAAACTACAGTTTAAGACAAATAATACTGCAGGTAGGAGTATTAGAAACTGAACTAACCCAAAATAGTGAATACATGGCACTCTCCCTCAAATATTCAATATGGTTTAAAATCAGCTTTTACTCAATAATAAGTATTTTGCAAGTAAAATTCTGGATATTGTGGCTTAAATTTGAGGTTAATTTGCCCAAATACCCCTAGACACAAGTAGAACAATAAGTATATATATATGAAACTAGCTACTGGTGCACTGTGCCACAGTTTAATTTGTCAATAGGTAATTAAGTATATTTCATGTATAACAATAAGGTTTAATTAAACTATATATGTGGCCTTCATTTTTAAATATACTTCTTGTCTCTTCTTGTTGTTGTTCACTGATCAATTACACACAGGCATGTGTGTAATTACACACCAACTATTAAGTTGGTGTATGACAAACTCAACCTTTTATTGTAAGCTGACTCACTGGTATTAGATATACTACTCATGTGCATCTATGTTTTAATTGGCAAATGATTTTTCCTTTGATGTTAGAAAATAGTAATATTTTCCCCGCTAAGGTCAACTACTACTAACCAATCATGTAAAGATAGTACAATAAAGTAAAACACTTATTTAGGTTTTTGCCAGTACTTACATTTTTTTAGCATTCTACAAAAGCAGTTTATTTTCTTCTAAATTTGTCTATGATATATCTATAAACATTGTGACATGGTTTGTACATGGTCTGAACCAGGTATACTCTTTGCCCATCATAGAAAGATGTTGCATATATGGGAAGAAAATAGAGGAGCACATCCAATTGGGAGAGAACTACAGCCATAATGTGATCCAAACCATATAATATTTATGCAACTCAATCCAAGTAATTATAAAAGTGGGTAAATTAAAAGGATGTGTCCTAGGTGTGGAGTGGCTAGGGTGTAACGGAATGTCCACAGCAGGTCAACTACATCCAAAACCCAGGCCACTGGGAACCAACACCCATATTGGGGTAGGAAAGAAAATCATACCAGTGACAAGTCAACTACAATCCAAAACCTAGCCATCAGTTACCAACATCCATGTGGGGGGAGGGAAAAGATCATACCACCTGCAAGTCAACTACAATCCAAAACCCAGGCCACTGGGAACTGACATCCATGTGGGGTTAAGAAAGAGGATTATAATGGTGGCAAGTCAACTACAATCTAAAACCCAGCCATCTGGTGGGTATAGGAAAGACGAGCATACCATCTTCACCTCAAGTTCATGAGGCTGGAGGGAATCAAGAACCCTCAGACTCACAAATGGGGCATATGTTCATACAAGAAATTGATGGATCAATCCAGAACCTGATATCCAGTATCAAAAAGATGTCTGCGTGATGTAAGCCATCTGTCTCAAAAGTGATATTCACCAGAAATGCCCCAGACACAGTAACATCCTCAGAATAATAAGCATTGAAGGGCAGCAGAAAGGAAGGAACCATAATAATGTGCAACTACCTCCACTGTGACCCACAACACAGATGGAGTAACAAGAGCATAATTGAGGGAGGAATATAGACATCTGTAATACATGTGTGACAGAATGATGAGTGAAACAATAAAAAGAAATTTGTTAACCTAAACATTATTTTTCCTGTCAATTCTCTTTAAAATTTCAGTTATGAAAAGTGCAATGAAAGTCAATGAAACTTAAGGCTACTTTTTATACTAATGGTACTACTACACTAAATAATTTTTATTTAATTAAATAATTCATATAAGAACACAGAAAATTAATTCACACAAACCAAGCAATGTCCTATAACTATCCCAATTCATCTGACTTTCTAACTATGTGATAATAGCCTTTAAAACTTCAGCTAAGCTTGTTGATGTGAATATCGTGAGAAAAAGTTTTAAACTGAAAGTGAAACAGAGAATGCTCTGTACAGAAAACAATGTAATATAATATGAAATTTGATAGATTAAAACTCTGGCTTTCTATTGGTTATAAATAATGTAGTATAAAATGTTAGAGGAACTAGTGGCAACTTGTGAAAAATAGGATGTGACTGGTGGGTCTGATGTTGAAGTTGGCTCCATGAACAAATAAGTTTGAAAACTATAAAAATTATACTTTGCCTTAGTAATAACTATATTATAATAAGTAATTTACATTAAATTCTGTACTACTCAAAGGGATCATAGATAAATTTAAGAATATAGAAGACCTAGAGAACAAATGTTACAATTTTCAAATTAGTGGAGACTGAGGATTTTTTAAACATTTTCTTAAAAATTAAAAATGTAAAACTAATATAATATTAAAATTTGATTCATTAACTATGTTTTGATGCTAATTTTATTTGTATAAAATAACAAAAAGCTGTTTATTTAAATTTTGAATGTCATTCTCCAAAAGATTGTGACATATATGCACTTTAACATACCTGTAGTGAGAAAATTAAGCAGTTTGACAGATTAACTCATCAGCAACTATTAAACTAATAAAATAGTAAATACCAGATTTATATCACAAGTTTCTTTACTAAAAAAAGCTTCTTGCAATTGATAATGTTTCTAAAGTATCTAACTGCTTTTAGCTCAACTGGCCTATATATGTTGTTACGACAGCAGAAGTCGCGTGATGCTGGTAACACATGATGAGATTCTTGAAGGATCATGAAAGCCCGAGTGTTTGCCAGATGCCCTCTATTTTAGTATATAAGCCCGGCAAATGATTGCATAGATAGAGAGGTTGAAGAGAGATATAGAGACAGATAATCAAGTCAAGCCGTAAGTAAAGTGTGTAAATCGCTGTGAATTATAGCTAAGTTAAAGTGACTGTGGAAATTAAGTGTATTACAAAGTTTGTAACGAGAAAGAATAAACTAGTTTTAATTAAGAAAGGACTTGTATTGCTGAAGTTTCGCGGAAATAATTTTTACGGGAAATTATCAAACAAGCAGATACGTAACAATATGTACTTGACAAACAGAAAAATAATTGTTTCTCATATAAATCACATAAAAACTGTTTGGTTGTAACAAGACTAAAATTCTTTACAAGAGGCATGTCTACAAACACGACAGAAATTTGTTACATAATAAGGAACAATAATAAAAAATGGAATATTAGATACATTTTATACACTATAGTCATCATTTTTATACATAGGTGATTTTTAAGCATTACTGGAATGAGCAATAAATCATACAAACCTAAACAAAAAACTAAAAAAATTGATTTATACAGCATATATATTTTCCAAAGTTAGAGAGTAAGTTTGTTCAAGTGTCTTTGAGAACAAGATCCAAAGCTGGTTTTCTTGTAAAAAAATATAACCTAAGTATGTATTCAGATCTGATCATTCTAATGAACTGGTGTAAGTACACAAAAGACATTGCAGAAATTAAACAAAAATAATAAAGTGATTATTTTGTAGAAATCATAACTTTCATTACATCATGATATATTACAAACATGGTATCAAAGCTGCCACTCCATAAAACATCATGACATTTGCATACAAACTATTCTTTTGAAGTGTTTCAATATCTGGATTACTGTGGTTTAGAAACTGACTAGGATTATTGAATGGTGAAGGTCAGTTGATAATATAAAAAATCAGTACCAGTTCCATGATCTGAATGTCACAATAAGTTACACATAATATACATTTTTGACTTAAGACACTTTAAAAGTAACAACACAAAAAAAGAAAAAAGCTCTTGTTTCAGGAATATCAAAAATTATCTAAACTATCCAAAAATGCACGTCTAATTTTTTCACTAATTTTCTCATTCTAAATTCTAAAATGCTTTTCTTTTAAATGTACAAGAATCAGTACAGTTTTGCTAAAAAATAATACAAAATGTACAGTTATGACAGTATTATACTTTATACACGACTGTTAGAACTGACCTGTTGACAAGCATGATGGCTGAAGACAAAGTAATACGTGGTGCTCCATCCCTCTTTACAGGCATGTATGGTGCTTTGAACTCATTGATCACATGGTCAGCTATCTGTTTTTCATCATGCATTTCTCGGTCATGGCACTTTCGAAGAAGGAGCTACTGAAAATATGTCATATATGGATCAGAGTATTCATCTGGTATCTACAACAGTCCTATTAAACTTTGCAAGTCAGCTTTTAAACATAACATATACTCTTCATATATATATAATATACTTTTACATTGACTAATGACTGAAAAAGCACTTTCATTTACTAGATTAGTGAACTAAACTATTCTTTTCACCAATGAATTGCATTTTTTGTGGAGGAGAGAGGGTAGATCACATAATAACAGTATAATTTAGCAACAATTATAAGCATTTTAATGTGATGGGTACACCTGTTTGGTGAACAAAGTTCTGTAGTGTTGATGTCATCAGCTTTAGCCTTAGGTCAGGTTTAGCATTCATCCTGCTTCTGTAATTGGACTTCATGGCCACAAGTGATGAAAATCATGTCTGACATTGGTATGTAGCAGGAAATAGTCAAACAATCTAATAGTTGATTCCTTTTAAACTCTGATCTTAATGTTCCTTTGCAAGAAAGCTCCAATAAACACTCTCCTTTCGTGGAGCTATATTGGCAGGTAGGTTATCATTTTACAATGCACCAAAATTGCCAAGTAAAGAATACATTTTTTTCCACTTTAATTCGAAAGTCATATAATGTATAATTTTAGACTTTTCCTTTAAACTTATGCACATTCATCTTGTTTATATAACTGAACTTTAAAGGATCTTATCTACAAACTCTTTCTTATCTAACATAAAACTTTTCTATGGAACACAATTTGAAAACCTTTTCACTAGATGGTAACACTGACAGGCTCATAACTGTTACTCCTTTTAAAATGAAATAGACTTGGATTAAATGTTGTAACTCCTTTTATGAATGTATAGCTTAAAATCATATTCAATTAAGCACAAAAGAAATCATATGATAGCTTTTCTTTTGTTACAGAATTATATCATTGTAAATTGACTATGTATTTGAGCATATATCCCTAACTATATTCTGTACATTTTTAAAGCTAGAACAATTAATTTCTAGAAATTTAAGTCTTTTTGGAATGACTTCTAACCATTTTGAGGATTAGACTTAAATTCAAAAGTTAGCATTTTCCTACACTGAACATGTATTTCCGATCACAAAATAGCTGCAAATTTACAATGCTCTACTACTAGCAAACGATCATGCAGCAGCTCTCCACCAATAGGAGCATGACACACTTCCTATAGTAACTAGTGCCCTCTTCACATTTGCACTTGTTAATCACTTCGAGATTGGTCAGAAGACCAACACTATATATCACTGGAAGTGAGGATGCTGGGTGGGAAATGTCAAAATAATACATATTTGAGTACATTTTCAATGTAGGAAAATGCTAAGTTCCGATACAATATCTTACCTCTTCTCATAAAATAGATAGAATCCCACACTGAACTTTGGAGGGCCGGTAAAAAAATTATCTCCCTGTAGGAAGTGCCCAAAGAGAAACTAGAATGTGTAAAACAAAAGAAAAAACATCACACCTCAGCAGGAGACCACATCACATCTGATCCAGGTATACTCTTCACTCTTTTATGACCGTGTTGCAAACATAAAAGGTGGAAAAACATAAAGGAATCCCAGAATATGTTAGATCGATTAATGAGAACTTGGGTGTCAAATGGCTAGGGTGTGACAGACTGTAGTACTAGATCAATCTCATCCAATACCAGGCAGTATCTGGAATGGTACATAAGATCCATGGAAGGTAGAGGATCACCTACCCCTTCACCTTGAAATGGGAATTGGTAGGGTAGATGAGGTTCCATACCAAAATCCATCTCCATTTGCATGCATTTCCAACACAACCAACACCAGATTTGCCAGGAACCGATATCCAGTCGATGGTAGGAAGGTGGAAAGCTCCAGCAGGATGACATCTCCAATCTAAAACCTAGCAGCAATGGGTATGATACTTCTAGTCCTTGGTAGGAGAATGATACACAGCTGTGCATACATCTTCAAAAAACATAGGAACCACCAAGAACGTAGCTCCAGAGGATGGTAGGGGAGGAGGAATGTCTCAGCTCAAGGGACAAACTGCCATGATAGACATATTTTGTGACATGGTTGAGTGCTTCAACCAAAACTAGGCAGCATCTGGAATTGTACATCAGGTCCATGGTAGGTAGAGCATCATGCCATCGACACATGATTTTTAATTGTGACCAGGCCATCTCCAACCAATACCAGACTCACCTAGAATGTAACTATGGAGAATGATAAGAAGGAGGAATGACACGATAGAAAAAAGCATTCTGTCATATATATAGACAGTAATACGACACTGTGCAACAACCAAAACCTGGCGGCATCTGGAATTGTACAACAGGTCAGTGTTAGGAAGTGCTATACGTTATCGACACCTGCAGAATGCCACCACCCTACTTTCCACTGAGCGGTATGATTCATCACTCAGGAGAACAAGCCTACATGGTCCACCACTCCAATGGCTAAGAAATGGTAAGGAGTCTCATACTCCACTAGAAAAAGGAGGGAAAATGCTTTGGAGAGTCTGGAGGACTGCATCACCGGAAACAGTGCAACTGGTGATGGTAATATCCTATTTTGAAAATCAGAGCTAGCATGTCGATGGAGTAGATCAACCAAATATAATGTTAAATTCTCTGAAAAATCACATTCTTTGCTCATGATGGTAAATACCTTCTGAGTATAAGCACTGACTATTAACCTGTAGAACAAACTACATGCTGCACTTTGGACAAAAAAAAACACTTTGAAAAAAAAAAAAAGAAAAATATGATCTTGACACAAATATACATGTACTCAATAAACAAACAACTTACAATATCAATTACACAAAATCATACAATATGATAAACTTGAAAACCTACACATTTCAATTCTCAATGAAATCCAGACACACAATCATAACTCAGTTCATTTAATTTCTTGGTCTTTCTAGCATTTTTACAATTTTTATGCTAACAGGAAAATAACTACACACACCTTTTCAATTTTGAAAAAATCCTGAACAGTATTCAGCAATTCCTCTTTTTTATCTACAGAAACCATGAGTATGTAATGAGAACCTGGTGCTCTTGCTCGTCCTTTGGACTGTACATATGATCGATAATCTGGAGGTGGATCAAATCTCACAACAAGGTTGCACTTAGGTACATCCATCCCTTCTTCAATTACTGATGTAGCAATGAGAATATTACAATCATGGTTTCTGAACCTCTTCAAAGTCTCCTCTTGTTTTCGAAAAGACATAAAAGCCTCTTTAGTAGTTTTACTTGTGCCTCCCAAACCATGGCCTACAACAAAGTCAGATTTTATAAAACTATACTCTGTATAAGCTTTGCTGACTTCTGTTAACCATAAATTGATTAAAAATGCAGTGCTACGCTGTTTAACAAAAATAATTCCACAGAGGTAATCAGATTCATCAGCTAATTTTGATTTTTCTTTTGTTACTAATCTAGACTCTGGCATACCAGTGATTATGTTGTTCTCATGATCACCTGCCTTTGAACTAGGTTTAAAAGCTTCCAGTATTTCAAGTAGCTTTCTTAACTTACATGTAACTGGTACACTATCTATCACATCTATTTCCTTTTTACTACCATCCATACAATCAGAAGACAATATACTTTTACACAGATAAACAACTGTTAGGAGTGCTGTTCTTGTCATAATCAAAAAATTACGATGATCATCTGAAAATATTGTTTCAATTTCCTGATCCAACTCACTAATAAATATTTCTGCAGCTTTTTGTCCACACCAAAGACCAAGGTCATAAAAAATTTTAACTGTGTCAGTTAAGTACTTTTTAGGCAGAGTGGATGGATGAGGTAAATCCACATATTCTTCTCTTAGGGTTAAATCAGTACAGTTCAGAAATGAAAGAGTATGATTTAGTATATTTGGCACTGCACTGCTTTGTGATGCTTCAAGAGAATCACAAACAACAACATTTTCTGTGGGGTTTGTTCCATATTTACTTAGAGAAATAAGGTCCCTTGCTGTTTCTGCTGTACTTCTCAAATTAAGTTCTAGGTTTTGTATATGTTTTTCTAACTTACTGGGTTTACACTTGCCATTCAAAATAGATGCAGTTAATCCAAGAACCTTAGGATGATTTTCTTTTGGGCAAGTATCAAAACAAATCATTATTTCTTTGTAAGGGTGATTCTTCACTGCTGCATGACATTCATCAAAAATTAATAGATTAACTTTTGACAGAGGAATAAATCCATGGTGCAAAATAATTCTAAAAATCTCTGCAGTCATTACTAAAACTTGGTATTCCTGAAACTGGGATTCCCACTGTTTGGCACTCCAAAAATCAACACCCATCTCACCATAGAAAAATCCGACAGCAAGATCAGTATACTCTTTTATCCTATCTTTCTGCTGTATCACAAGAGGCACTGTAAAAAATATACATAAATATAAAAAATAATGGTAAAATGGATAATAACATGATGAAGAGTAACAAAAACCATATGTATTTTATTTATAGTACTTTAAAATATTTCAGGTACTAACTTAGGACACTTTTTTGGTCAAGAAACCAATGACTGAAATATCAAGTATAACTAATGAGATATAATTTATATACTACTTTGTAGAATTATCAATCATGTCAGTTAGGAAAATCATGTAATCACATGATCAGAAATTAAAAAGACATTGAACCTTTGTATTCCTAGCAAAATATCATCTCATGTTTTGAGAGAATCGCTCCCATAATCCAAATGAGTGGTGCGACTCTATGCAGAATACCAACCTATACTCAGTAGATTTTCTCATCTAATTACCTTGGAAGTATGCAAGATCTATCAGTAACAAGGAAGTTGTGTTTCCTCTAAACAGCAAGGGCATGGAAACAAAGGATTTGATCTTAGCATTAACCCTATCGCCGTTGCTACCCTTTACTGTTCATGACACAAGGTTTTAGTGTCTTACATTCAAAATTTTATTAAACTACTTTTTGTTTATGTTATACCAATTAAAATAGCATAAAATATTAGCTAATAATCCATATTTTAATAATATACATGCTTTAAGTTCTTAATTCTACAAGGAAATATTTTTTAAAATCCTGAATTTCCACTAGTGTGACCCACGTAGTACATTTTGTCTTAGCACGTCATAATCCCTATTTCATCTATCATCCCTCAAAAATGTACGAAATTAAATGTAAAATACTCTCTATAAAATCATTATTGCTCAAACAGACCATAATTTTTATAGCCTCCAATTTTGTTTGGTTACAGAGCTATTGAAAAGAAAATCAGCCCCCTCCTGTCACAATTCCTTGATAGTTATCTCTTACATTTCATTATGTATTACCTATAATCAATAGAAAGTCAATGTTTTCATCCATCAAATGACATATTGTATAGCATTGTATTCTGAGCAGAATATCATCAATTTCACTCACAGTACAAGATTCGTGGGAAAGTGAACGACTAGCTTGGATGAATTTGTAACAGCTCTTGGCGCATAGTTAGAAGCCCAAGAAAATTTTGAGAGGTAAGTGAATTTGTCTATTTTTTGCATGCTATTAGTCTATATTCTTTGGTGCATTATTTAATTAAATAAAAATTGTTAAGTGCTTTACTATAATTACTTTAATCAATCAGGCTTAACTGTTCTCGACAATCGAGGACAGGAAAAACAAGATTGGGTAAGTACATTTTTTCTTGTTTTTCATATTTATTCTTTATTTATTATTACAAAAGTAACTAAAATCTAAAAATACGGATGTTT